CTTTATCTTTTGGACTTTTTAGGTCTTGCTGTCACCCACTCTATCCATGGCTTTAGTAACCAGCTCATTCTGGATACGGGTAACCCAAATCTACCCTTCTTCAAGAGAGGAACTTCAAAAAGCTTTTTCTTTTTTCCCATTGACATTTTGTCTTCCCCTCTCCAGCTTTTTATTTTCATCCAATTTTCTGACACTCAGACCTTCTCCTTGTTCCCTTATCTTGATATTTCCTTGGGAGGGTTGTCCTAACTTTGTGGTATTTTCACATCTAGACTAAATCTTTAACATCCAAATCAGTTATCAAAACATTAAAGACTAGATCACTGTCAGCATCGACTTTTCTTAGAAGGAAAAGCAAGCATGTTTTAACTTGTTGTTTCATATATTTACACCTTTGCTCAAACATTTTTCCATGAAAGAAGATTTCTGTCTTTATTCCTGCTAAAACTAATCATAATTCTATTTGAAATGCATTTTCATTTGTGTGATTATTGAGATCTTTTCTTCTCGAATCAGAAGTGATCTCTGCTCATCTTATGAGATTTTGTATTTATTGAGCACATACTGCATGTCAATTGTTTTGTTAGACACTAAATACATATCCCATTTGACTTTTATTAAAACCCTGGATTAGCAGATCTTAATTTTTTCCAATTCACTGGTTTATTTTATAACACTGCTTTATAATGGCCTTTTTACTACCCTGAAGTTGAATTGACAGAATAAACAACATGCTTATATGCCTAATTTCAAAAATCAATAGAACTTTATTTTGGTAAAAGATAAATTTAAAACTTACAGTGGTGGATATTTAGATATGTAAATGTTTAGGTAAAACTATAGTAGATAGCTTAATGAAGTAGTCATTTTTTTTACCTGTTTACAACAAATAAGTTTTCATTTTAGAAAAATAAAGATCAGAAACCATTCTGAACATGAACTATAGAAGATCAAAGAGAAGAGATATTATTATATACTAATATAAAATGTGTTAAGATAAATATTCACAGATAAGATATGAGTATATAATAAAGCAAAATGAGAAATAATCAATCAAATAAAGGATAAACATAACAAGACAAATTAGAATCGGAGCTAGGGAAAATGAGAAAGTATGATATAATCTTGCTAAACTGTGATAAATGGAATGTGTCCAAATATATCTTATCAATCCCAAGCAAGAAAGTATCATATCTGTCAAGCATTCCAGCCAACTGGGACCCTTCTTGATCTAAGATCTTAGGTTGTGCATTTTAGTATTGCTTGCAAACATTTGATAGCCCCTCCCCTTATTTTGATCCTGGATTAAAAATAAAATTAAATTAATTATCAGATGAACATATTTGCTATAACTCAAGGTTATTGATATTAAAGAAACTCTATACATTTGCTTTCTTTATTAGAAGTTATTCTAAGAACTATTTATGTTGGTGGTAGGACAACACGTATGAACAGTAGAAATAGAATTTGGAAAGAATGAAGTCATGACCAAGCACCAGTCGCAAGGCCTTCTCTTGTTCCTACGGACATGTACAAGTGATTTCCATCCCATTAGACTCTAGTGTTGCTCAGATGGTGGCAACGACACTGCCCAGATTTCCCTCTGAGGTTCCTGCAATAACTATAGCTCAGTTTAGCCTCCAGTGTGTATTGGAACATGTTAAATTGAATCATGTTTTTCTTATCAGCATTTGACCAAATAAGTATCACTTGACTATGTCCCCTCTCGCTCTAAGTACATTAAGTCACCAACCTATAATTGTGGGCATGATGACTAACATTTTTCTAACTCTTTTTCCCAAATTTAAGTTCCTATCATGTACTCCACAAGCATATCCTGTCAAGATCAGTGATTATGCATTTGTGGTATTTTTCATTTGGAGAGTTACAGGTTTTCATTAGTGCTAATGTTTCATCTGAGTGGGGAGTATGTTAAACCAAGTGCTCCTTTGAATGGGGTTTCCAGATTTCACTCAAACACAGCTGCTTTCAAGGCAGAGTAATGCAAAGATAATTTCTGCCAAATTATACTTTCATACAACTTAAGGTGGGGCTCTTGAAGTACTGACACATTTTCTAAAACCAAATATTTATTTTGCTTTTGTGCATGTAGTAATTGGCAGACTAAAAATGATGGCAATTCATTCAGTCATCTCTTTCCCTTCTGGTTTGGCACCCACTGCAGTAGCTAATTAATGCGGTGGTGAGAGTTTATCTGTTGTCTTGCAGCTACTGGGGCTACTTGGCATTCATTTTCACAGATGCCTAATTGTTGCTGCTGCTCTGCCTCCAAGGGCAAAAAGGATCTTATTGGCCCAACTAAGGACAGTATTAGTCCAAGGGAGCCCTTTTATAGCAGTTGGGTCAGTTCTGCTTGAAAGGTTGTAAATTTAGTTTTATTTCTGGACATGATAACAGATAATGCCCCTGATGTGAAAGGTTAGAAACCATGGTAATAATAAAACCCAATATATTCCTAGCTTTCATTTTAAAAAAATCATATGTCCTGTTCATAGATGGAATTAATTGGCATCTTAAAGTTTCAAGTTCAAAAATACATATTCAAACCATTTTAAACACTGAAGAAATACTGGCTTATGTAACATAAAAGTCCAAAGGTAGAATTGACTTTATTCATGGCTGGATCTGGAGGCTTAAACAATGTTATCAAGGTCAATTTTTCTTCATTTCTTGACTTTTCCTTGCTTTACCTTCACTCTATTCTCAAGAAATCTCCCCTTTGGATAGAAGTATGGAGGCCAACAGTATAGGCTTATGTCCCCACAGTTTAAAATCCAAAAGCAAAACAGCAAAACAAAGGAAGGAAAATGTTTCTTTTCTTCAGAAATCTTAGAAAAGATTATAATAGTGTGTATTACTGGCTCTAAGTAGCTCATGTATTCTTCCTTGAACCAATTACTGTAATCAGAGACTAGAATACCCTGATTGGTCTGATATAAATCCCCTGTTCACTACTTGATTGAGGATGAAGTTAGTATCACCATACTACTTGGTCTAAAAGTGTTGTAGGGTAGTCCTTGATGAAAATCAGCATGATTTACCTGCAGAAGGATAAAGGAAGGAATGAATGAGTTTTGCTACTCCCACCCCAACCCCCATCTTATCAGAAAAGACAAAAGACTTTTGCTGTATAATCATTATCCATATACTGGTTAACATTAAACTATAGTCATTTAAAAAAAAAAAAAAACAGAGTAGGCAGCTTGCAGGTTTCCTTCATCTGAAAGTTAAGCCTGGGCAAATGTGAGGGTTCAGAGACAGTTCAGGAAGCATTTTGTATTCTGAGGAGTTCCAGAAATTCCTAACTTCTCTCATTTCTAGTTCCATGTTGTGAAACCACGGAACCTGTGGGTACAGCTCAAAAAGTCCCATGTGGGGGTAACTACTAGAAGTGTTCATTCTAATTGCTATCCCTTGACAAGATCCCTAGGGCCCAGTGGCTCCAGAGACATTTCACCCATTTTTCTTAAACAAGAACCTCTCTCTGGCTTTGTCCCGCTTGTAGCATAAAAAATCTGGGTGTGTCATTGTATCTAAGAAGAAAGACACCCATCGGAAAGGTTAAAAAAAGGGAGATAACTAGAGCAAAGATAAAGAATCTGGTTTTATATAACTCTGAGTCAAAACTGGTAAATAAAAATATCATACTTTTACAGTTATTCTTGCTGGATTATCTAACAGTGGGACACAGTGAATGTATGTCATGGGACTGAGATATTTTATGGAAAATTTTTGAATGAGGAAATGCAATGAAGGGTGTGGAATTCACTCCTGATCACTTTCAGAGAGTCTGCTGAAGGGGCCCTCTGAGGCTGAGCGGAGTCCCGAACAGCCACCCACCCACTGATTACCACTGCTGTCACAGCTAGAAGCTGGGCAGCTAGAAGTGTCATGAGGGTGGTTTTGAAACTTCTCCTGGTATGTGAGAGAGTCAGCCTGAAGAAATGCATTAAGCAAAATAGGCTGCCTACCTTTTTTAACATCCAAAATCTCACAACCTAATTTATTATACTAATTGATTAAGTGTTAATGATTCTCGGAGAAATGAAAATTTACTCTCTAAGGATGTAGGTAACATAAAATTTTCTTGGTAATAATGATTCAGAGATGTGAGAGTATATTTTACAACTAATATTTTGAATCCAAAAGCTATTGACTTTTTTCTTTACTAAAAATTCATACTTTTTCCCCCCCTCTCATGGAAGGGTTTTATTGTGAACGCCATATTACTTCAGACTAAATACACTATCCGAGCTCAAGATGGACAGTATTTTCAACTCTGTAGGAAGCTACTGTTGCCAAGAAAAGATTTCAAATTGGCAGGTCAATTAGGAGTATAGAACCCTAGCTTCTAGGCAAATTTCCAGGCTTACTCAGAGCAACATGTCCAGGACTCCTCTCTGCTGGCAAGGTGTGTGACCTCACCACATTCACATTTTCTTTTCAGAGTAAAACAAGCACTGGAGAATTTTACAACTCATTTTTTAAGAATGTAATTGTGGCCTCATAGATTACTAAAGTACTAACATTTAAAAAATAGATCAATGTATTAAATTCAATAATGGTTATTGAAAATTATTTCAATTATTTTCATCTAAAGGCATTTTAGAAATATTTTCTAAATTAGAAAGAGTACATACTTATTCAGTAATTAATAGTTAAACAGATTAACATTTCTGTTTAACATCCTGGTAATAGTCATTTCAACTTTTCCTGAATTAACCAGGGAGAAAATCCACACATGTCTAAATGAGTTATATATCACAGCCCCATGTATCTTCAGCCTAGAGCTATCACTCTCTAGCTTGTATCATTTGTGGGGGTGGTGTTAGCATTAGGAGCAGGGGCTGCATTTTTTCTTCATAATTCTGGAGGCAATGTTTATATATATATATATATATATGTAATGAATCTTTATATATATGTTTGATTATGGTATACCTCATATTAGGCAATTGCTCCTGGACAAATTAAAAGGTAAATTTACCACTCACTTCAGCAGCTAAAATTGGAATGGTACAGAGATCGTTAGCATGGTCCCTGTGCAAGGATGATGTGCAAATTTGTGAAGTGTTCCATATTTTTACTCAACATCAGGAAGACATCAATCCAATTAAAAAATGGGCAAAGGGCATGAGCACACACTTCCCCAAAGAGAATATACAGAGGACTTATTGCCATATGAAAGGATGCTCAACATCACTAGCCATCAGACAGATGCAAATAAAAGGCACAATGAGATACCACTTCATACCGGTGAGAATGGCCATCATTAACAAATCAACAAACAACAAGTGCTGGCAAGGTTGTGGAAAAAAGAGAACCTTACTGCATTGTTGGTGGGAATGCAAACTGGTACAGACACTGTGGAAAACAGTAGGGAATTTCCTCAGAAAACTGAAAATGGAACTCCCTTTTTACTTGGCAATTCCATTGCTGGCATGATACCCTAAGAATCCTGAAAGGTCAATTCAAAAGGACCTATGCAACCCAGTGTTCATAGCAGCACAATTTACAATAGCCAAGTACTGGAAGCAGCCTAGATGCCCATTGGTAAATGAGTGGATCATTTAAATTTACTGTGGTATATTTACAGTGGTATATTTACATAATGGATGCTATGCAGCAGAAAGAAAGAAAGAACTTCTACCATTTATGATAACAGGGACAGAACTGGAGAGTATTTTGCTAAGTGAAATAAGCCAGGCAGTGAAAGATAAATACCATATGATCTCATCCATAAGTGGAACCTAATCAACAAAACAAACAAGCAAGCAAAATAGAACCAGAGACATGGAAACAAGGAACAGACTGACAGGGACAAGAGGGGTATGGGGAGGGGAGTAAGGGAGAAAAAGCGAAAGGGTCTAGTCAATAAACAGGTACAAATTACCCAAGGACATGGACAATAAGGTGGGGATTGACTGTGGGAGCTGGGCATGGGCAGGGAAAGGGAGAATAATGGGGGAAAACTGGGACAATTGTAATAGAAAAACAATAAAAAAGATAAATTTATATATGACAGGAGTAAAACTATTTTTTCAAAGAACCTCATAATGACCATAGTGAATTATTTGGTTAAACCAATAATTTTATCATAATATGTTCTTCAGTTTGTGTTTATTATTTTTATTATTTTACTTCTTTTTAGTCCTCACCTGAGGATGTTTTATCAATTTTAAACAGAGAGGAAGAGAGAGAAAAAAAATTATTGATTGGTTGCCTCCCATATGCATCCTGACAGGGGACTGAACCCTCAACCCAAGTATGTGCCCTGACTGGGAATCTTAACCTACAGACTTTTGTTATATGGGACAATGCTCCAACCAACTGAGCCTCCTGGCTAGGACTACTTCTATCATTTTTATGGAACAGAAATTTATTTGAAATACCATGCATAAGGGGCAGGTGGTTATGAAAGAGCAAATGGAGAGTAACAATAGCAGCAGGGACTTCGGAATGAGAAGTGGAGTTGGTTTCAAAAGCTAAGCCTGAATGAAGGCCTTCAGGAATGGGGATACTGAAGATGCGGTTGCTCTTCATTCCCCTTTCTCCTGCATTTGTGTCTTTTGTACCTTTTCTTCTCCTTTCATTAAGGCCAGACTTCTTCCCTTTCTAACCTGTATGAGTTCTATCCCTTAGCTTCTTATTACTTAAAATGTGGGCTTCCTGTGAGACCTCAGTGCTCCAGCTCTAGCTTACTTATTGTTATCATCCTTCTAGTCCTAGCTCCAGCAAAAACTGTGTATCTCAACAGTAAGGATACAGTCTGACTATGTTTCTTTATCTTTTCTAGCCTACACATTTTCTGCTTTAGGACAAGAGACCCATCCTAAGACCAATCAAGTGCATAGGTCATGTTACATGGTATAAACCAGAACTAATTAAGAGTTATATTTCAGCATATTCTGAGTGTTGGACAGATGACCTCCAAAGTGAATTCAAGTGTGGTAGACCTTCTGAGATTTATGATAAAAATCTCATAAAATATGGATTTTTAAGAGAGAGAAAAAAACAGAGAGAGAAAGTGTCAGCAATGGAGAGAATATTGTCTTTGCCTCTGAAGCTCCTACTTTCCTTCACTTGCCCTAAGGAAGCTCACCATGTGATTCAAATGACTTTGACCTCAACCTAACTTCCAGAGGTAGACCTACTTCAAACTATTCAGTCCAACTCTTTGTGAAGCAAGTGGTAGTTCAAGACCTAAGGTATTCAGTATTTCAATTTCATTGGGTGGGGAAACATCCTAACTGAATCAACCAGAAAAAAGCCTGAGACTATTGTGTGATTTTCAAGAAGGGTGAGGTTCTTACTTTTTGTAATTAATATGAGTGATAACACATGTAATCTATGAAGCTTGACTAGCCAATCAGTTACCATAAGGTAAGGCAATCTTATGATGGGATGCATAATGCTGAAGGCAGAAAGAATATAACAAAAAGAATCTGGTATTTTATAACATTGTTGAGCTTCAAAATTGATGCTCAAAATATATTTCTTTAAATATTTCAGTTACTTGAGCTGATATGTTTCCTTTATTATTTAATCTAGTTTCCTTTAAGTTACTTAAAAATGGAACATACCCAGCTAATAAAGTCTAGTGTATTTTTCTTAAATTTTATCAAATAATTATATTAAACTTTTAGTAAGTATTAACCAGAAACAAAATAGTATGTTTAATGTAGGTACATACAGTGAACTGTGAATCCTGGGAGGGTAAAAGTGAGAAGAGATTCAAGGAAGCTTGGGAAAACAGTAGGACAAAGTGAGAGAATATAATCAGTTGCCATGAGTTCTGTGAAGCCTGAGTGAGAGTGTGAGCTTTATAGGAGAGAGAAATTTTTTCTTTATCCTGTGGTAATAGATCACCTAGTAGCTACTACATCAAATAAGAGGACTGATTAAGAGTTTACATTTTCAGATATAGTTATTCCTTTTGAACCTATTCTGATTTTTTGCAATTTAATCATCTATGAACCTTTGGAAGGTTACCAAAGAGCTGCCTTTTTATATCTTTTAGAGTGGGATTTTTTTTCTCTTGCATAACTCGTATTCAGCTCTGGCTAGATGGGGGTGGTGTTAGGGAAAGAGTCCCAGACTATGTGCTCCTAACTAGGGTCTGAGTAGAACTGTAGAGTATGGACTGTGGGATATGTGCTGAACTGGGACATGGGTGTGAGACATGAGCAGGGTACAGAGAGCACACACCAGGGACGGGAACAAAGAAGAGGCCAAGAAGATAACTGTGCAGCTGGCTCATCCCTCTGGATGTCTGGAGCAGCTTCAAGTGCTCTTCTGCTTCTGTGCAGGCAAAACTAGAGAGGGTGTGCCACATGGGAGTAAACTCTTCAACCAGGACCTTTAAGATCAGGAAATAGACTTTTGAGGACAGCAAACTTTTTAGAGAAACATATTTTAAAGCTAGAGGACACTTAGAGTTCAGCAGCTCCCAATGTCTGTCTCTTGGAATAATATTTCTTTGGTATATTAATAGATGCCACATAAAAGAAGAGTCAGAAGGGATTTTCTTGCTAAATACACTCAGAAAAGAATTTTCAAAACAATGCAAGACATTTTTTTTACTGCCAAGATACTTGGGGTCTCATTAATGTGCCCTGTGCATCTATTGACTTCTTGTGTATTCTCACTATATTTCCTCAGATCCTTCTAATTGTTTTTTGTTTTTTACTTTGTTCTTGCAAAAAAATCATTTCTTGTTTGTAGAGCTCATGAAATATATCTTAGCAATGTTATTTGAGTTTAATCACAGAAAGTTTCAGACAAGGAGCCTGAGACCTAGAAGGAAAGCTTCAGTCACAGGCTTGCTCCACACAGTGTGGGTTAGTGGCACTGTTACAATTCAGGTCTACTTGTATCTTCCCACACTTTACTTTCTCTCCCCCCATGACAGATGACCTCTTCTATGATTCAAGAAGTGTTCCCTGCTATTCACGTTGCCTGGTGAGTGTTTAGATAGAGTTGTTAATAACAATTGACTGGGCAGACATGTTTAAATTACAAGAAGGTGAGCCCAAATCAATGCGTATTTGATCCCTCAAAAATGATACAGCTCGTGTGTATCACAGGAATGTAAAACACAGCAGTCGTAAATGCTTTATAAAAGCATAACATCTTCATTAAATAAGCTGCATGCTGTATAAACAGGAGCTCATGAAGACATCTATTTTATAGGATATCTTATAGAAATGGAGGCACCATGTATTTATATTAGCTTAGCCATTGTTAAGAATGAAGTGCCAGTCAGGACAGGAAAATTGGTTTCTTACCTAAGATAGTTTCAACTTTTATGTTTTTCTAAGTGTAGTTTTGACTGTAGAAGAAGAATGTTGAAGTAATATGAGGAGATTGCCTTATCTTGAAGTTTTAAGAAGGGGTAGTATAAAACACTCTATAAATGCTACATAGCTACCTATCCTTTTATCTGTAAAACTTTTAGAGTGACATCATGGTGTGTTGGAAAATGGGAATCTCAGTTTATGCCTTAGTAAATATTGCAACATTCATTTCAAATAGTTGAGTAGATTTTCATAGTACAGTGAAGTGTAAAGCAAAAAATGAGAGACTATATAGGAAGAATTTTCTAGTCAGTCAGGAGAATATGAAGACTTGTCATTTTTAGAATCCACAATTACCAACTGTGATTCTAAAAAACTAATTAAATATAAACTAAATAAAAATAATGATAATCCTATATTTTAAATTGGAGTATTTCATGCAAATGTTTGAATATAAAATAATGATGACTAACTATATTAAATCTTGACATGTTATGAGGTATTGAGAAATATATAAAATTAAGTTCAACATGTTAAACTTTTTTGAGTTACATATAAATAAGAAAATCTAGTGACTCAGGTAAAGGGTTGAATAAAGGTTTGTTAATTATTAGATCACAATAGACTAGACTCATAAAAGTCATTTCAGAGGTTTGACTGAAACAGTGTGATCCTTCTGTGGGAATGAAGGCTGCAATGACAGATGAATCTATCCCATGGTAAAGAGCAGGCATGAGCATTCGCCCTATTAAGTACAGCTCGCAAACAAAGATTGTTTTTATTTGAATT